ACGCTCACTAGGCGGTGCAGACAATCGATGTCCGATGAGTCAGCTTAATGTGACATGTTTGTGAGTATGAGAAAAAAGACAAGTCTCGTGATCCAGTGAGCGACTGTGGCCTGAACAGTCAAGTATGTGGGCGACTGGGTTGCTACAAGAGCTCTACCATTCTGCTGTATTGGGCAAAACAGTTACACCTACAAAAACTGCCCATAGGAACTATAGGAACGGTTTTTCAGTAAGAATCTCCAGTTGGCATTTTGCGCGAATAATGCACTGTTGATGTAGGTTCAAAAAATTGCAACAATTATTGAATGAACATGTAGGCAATACGCGAACTACCTGAGTAATCTGTACTTATGAGAGATACATTCGCTTCAACTTCAATACATGCAATCTTGATCTCAGTATCAAAACAACTTATTGAGCGTTTATGCTACCGGTGAAAGGAAGAAGACCTTAGCTGCGGAATTGTTTGTTAGGAAACACCAACTGAACAGTTACAGACTATTGGACAGGAAATCGAAACTCTCATATGCACCTTGTTTATAAAATTGAACATTAGTCTTCCCCTTGAACCCGTCTTCATGAACTCTCCTGGATACCCATTGACTATAACTCAAATGTAAACGAATGCTACAAAGCAATTCCACAAACTCTGTAATAAATCCCACTTTCCAATAGACGTGAAATGGAGTTATGAGAAAACATATTACTCGCATGTCTCCTCAGTAGCATCCACCATTACATACCTCCCCCATCTACAGGTGGCTCGCATACCACCGATTTTTATTTACTTCACTGAGGTCGGTTCCAGCGGCTGGTTGATTCGGCCGCTACTTGGGTGTATCATGCTACTTATGAAGCTGAGTCCCATTTATTCTTTTCGATCCTCGCCCGACCGCTTCCTGCAAAACAGACCATAAAGGCGATACATGTAGGCAAGTTGACCTGGTGGCCTGTATCTAGCCCTCTTCAAAATATTGGAAGAAATCGTGGTCGCACATATGACAAAATATTTTGTTTGGTGCTATATGGATCGACAAGAAACTGTCCGCAAAAAAGGATCCGTCAACACATATTCCTATCTTCAAAAAGGGTACGCGTGCACATTTAATTGAGTCCCGCCCGTCCCGCTGCTCCATAAACTTGAGTCTTACAGGATTGAAGGAAAAAAAACCCTACGCTGGGTCAAAGCGTTCTCATCAGGCAGATGATGCAGCGTGAAAATAGGCTCGAACTACAACTCCCCAGCTCCGTCCTCCATTGGAGTTCCTTAGGGTTCAGTTTTGGATATACGTCAAGGACCTTTCAAATTTTCTCTCAAGTCCATGTCTGATTTTTTTTGACGACTCGTAATCCTGGAATTCCAATGCAACCGCCCACCGAACTGGTGTAGACGCTGCAAAGCAGTAGTCGTTGGACTGGCACCTTCCTCTGAATTACGAGAAGCGCGTCCATATGTCATTTGGAGGAGACTCAAGAAATGCTTTTGTTACGCGTGGTGAGAAAGGACCAGAAAACATCATGAGGATAGACGCCAGAAAGAATTTGGGTATCTGGGTCTCCTCAGACTTGTCCTTCTCAATGCACCATGAGAAATCGGCCCAAAAGGCATTCACCGTTCTACAGATGATGCGACGCACCTTCTCCTGTATTACTCTCATGGACTTTCAAATACTCTGTGGGGCCTACGTCAGACCGCTCCTTGAATATGCGAACTATGTTGTCTACTCAGGACGCACAAAAGACGTGATTCTCGTTGAGCGTGTCCAGCGAGATGCCACTAAAATGTTTGCCAGCCTTAAATCCGCGGACTACGAAACGCGTCCTGCGGTGCTTGACCTGTTTCCCTTAGAGTATCGTCGCCTCCGGATAGAACCAATTCTTACTGATGCCCTGTTTGAACAAGGCTTGTCCAACAGGTTTTTCAAAGCTGATCAATGGTAAAAAAACAGCGAACACACGGCGGGGACAGGTTTAGAAGCTTTTCAAGCCCAGAGCGCACACTTTCATCGGACAAAATTTTTTCTCATTTTGGGTAGTAGCTGCGTGGATGATCCTTCCTCCGATGGCTGTCCGTGCTTGTTCCAAAACCCAGTTCCAAGCACTACTAGACATTTATGCGAGTGCTCACGCTGGAAAGCGTACTGCCCCGCGCTGAGAACTTACAGAGCAGTGCTACACCCTTTTTTCACTTGTGACTTCCAGGTGAACAACAACCGCTAAACGACAAGAACAAAACAGACCCCGTAAACTTGGACGGAAGCCTTGATCCTGTGTACTAATCCATGAACGCGTGAACACTGCGTAAAATCTACTTCGGCATCAGCTTGCTAGCTGTGGCCTCACAGGTGCTTTCTGGTCTTATTATTTGAGGACTCTTTGAACACAGATACGTGAAAACGAAGCTGAAAACTGATTTAAAGTTCATGTTCTTACCCTCCGACAGATTTTGGAACGGTGACACAACCTCTAGCAACCAACAATGATCTAACTCCCCTTGAATGCCGTCTTCCGCTCTGTTGTACGTCAGGCACCATAGCAATCGTTGCGGTACAAGGGTGCCCCCATGAATACTCTATCCTCTTTAAGCGCTGTAGGCCAACACCCATAGGGGTGCAATAGTCTACGTAATCGATCACCTAATTTCACTATATCAAGTGGTGTCAGGCAAATTCGTGCATCTTCACCGTTAGGTTTTGCTATATGGTTATGAATGAGTAGCCCCAACCCTCTAATGCCTTTGAAGTTGGAAAACTTCATAGGCGTTTCGTCACACATGTTCTGTACGGAGAAGACGTGGTCCTCCTTACATCTAACACTAATTTTGGCGATAATAAATAATTTGAGCAATTGACCTGTGATTAAAGGCTGTGAAATGTACAGTGCTCCTGCCAAATTGAACAGGTAGGAAACCTCACCTCATGATCCATTTGAGGTGGTAGATAAATCCGTCTGCACGGGAAGCTGATTTATGCTTTGTAGTTCCGCGAAAGATGATATTTCAATCTGGATTTGAAGGCCATAGCAGCTTCTGAAAACTTGCACCACGTGAGGCACAGACCTGAACTCAGCTCACCTGACAAGGTTTGAGTCTACAACGCAGTGGTGTCTCCCTGTATTAGTATATGGGTGAGAAACCTGAAAACTGCTAATTGTTGGCTTTTGACCGTCGCTGTCTTCGGTGTGGTTGTGAAACTGAGGTCAGCAGTACTTAAGTCCTTCAAATGGTATCCGGAATGGATGAACCGATCACAATCTCTAGAGTGTGTTGAGGCTGTGTATGCTAATCGGCCGACTTCATCGAAAATCTCTCTTCATATAACCGCTAGAAGAGTGGAAACGAGCCACAGGAAGTCAAGCGATGAGTTGGGAACTTGGCAGTTCCAGCAAGCTCAACATGGATGATCCCCGTCATATCTGTGGGTGATGCGGGACATATCAGTGGTTAGAGAAGTTGCTAGAAATGGCCAAGTTGCGCTCTTATTATTGTCCACGCATCCGGGCTGTCGTTCTCAATGCTTCATTTCCCTTCCTGATCTGTCCTTTGCAACATTCACACCCAGCTCCAATACTAACGTATCAGTTATATCACTTGCCGCAGCTGATGCGTGGCAATCTATATCTATTTTCCCAGGTAGCCAATGAATGAAACTCTGCAAGTTATAACAATTGTACAACAAGTATGCTTTGTGGTCCTATATTCTGGGGTTGGCAACTCGTTATCACAGATGGGGAACCTTCGTCAGAGAATTTCGGGACTTCTCAACTTCTTTTTGACCGTGATACGTTCAGTCCGAGGTAGGTATTCAAGAGAGCTTTCCTCTGGTGGAGGAGAAGCATGTTAGAAGCTCGGGTGGCGTAGGATTTTTTTTCGGGTTGTTCTCTAAACTCGGCAGTTTGGTTGGAAAGATTTCATCGTAAATCGAGGTTACATACTGCGTTATTAGGTATGGAAATGAAGCTTATAAGTTAGTCTGTTGTTGCATGCAACCCCAAAAATACTGTGACAACAAAGTGCTAGATTTCATGAGGTTTTTTTGTTACCGTTGGCACCAAGCTAAAATGATTTATCCGGCCATGTTGAACGATTGGACCCCGTGCAATTCTATTTAACAAGGAAAGTGAGGAATTTTGTAATAGTGTAAGCAACTGCCCCTGATTAGACTACAGGTTTTCTTTCGTTCAGAGCACTTAGATGAAAAGTACAGAAATGCGCTTCATTGAAAAAAATAAGAAACAGAGTATAATTGGAACGACCATAGGTAATGAAAAAAGGATATGAAATGTTTATTCAGTTTAATCGTTGAAATCGCGTGTGATTTATTTGGTATTGTACGTGATAATCTTGCGACATGTAGATGTAAATACATTTTAGTAGAAAATGCTTCGTATGGGGTCTTGCGATACATGCAAGCTGTTGATGTCCTTTAAACACTCAAGCCATGAAAGACCGTGGTGCCTAGCTTGATCATGTCCGAATACAGATGGCTGAAAATTGTATCGAGAGCATTGTATTCAGACACAAAAACTGTATGCCTTCATAGATCATCCACAATTCACCTCAGGCCAAAGCTATCGTCGAAAGGCTTTGGTTTAGTCTCAAATAGGTCGAACGCAAATAGCCTGTCGGATGATCACAACGCACACTACTGTGTATTCGCTATAAACGTCATACACGAATTCGTCTGAAAAAGGCTTTCACAATTACACCGAACTTGAAGCAAGTATTCCTATGAAAACGCTAGCATGCGTTTGATTTGAAACAAGAGGATAGAGCAAGAGTTAGCATTTTATAGGCAGATTTTGGGTTCAAAATTTGGCACAACCTTCGATCTCTAATTCGCACTTTGAAGTACTCAGCTAAAACCCATTTTCATGAGATACTATCTTACCTGTTCCAAAACGTAAAGATAGGTTTTACAGAATGACCTTTTGAAATTAGCAAGACCTCTCTGTTTTTTTGTTATTTTTAGCTACTGATTTCGATAGCCAGTCTATTCTACATGCAAACTACAAATGGAGAAAAAGGCAAAAAGCTTTCTGTTTTGGATAACACAAATAGTCAAAGAGCAACCATATCGGAGAAGATTGCGAGTGGTAAAAGTTTGTCAGGTTTGAGGGACACGAAGACTGTAATCAGTCCACTCGCAGAACATTCAAATACGAAAGCAAGCCGGAGGTTGGGTAAGAGGGAAAGAAAATCAAAGAAAAAACTGAGCACAGAACCTGACTTAGAACCAGAAAATGGTCCCTTATCCAATGTTGGTATGCAAAGTGGTCTTAAACGTGGCGAAAAGAAGAAACCACACAAAAGAAAACAATCAGAAAATATCGCACGCCATAGTGGAAAATCGGTGACAGAGACGGGACAGCAAACAGGAGGCAAATGCAGATGTGACTCAAGGTCAGATAGCTGTCGAAATATTGTGGGTGAATGCAAGGATAAAATAAAATCAAAGAGCAGTTCTGAAAGAACTAGAAAATCTAGGCGGCAGAGAAAAAGTCCCGCTTACGAGTGGGTAAATTGTCCCAAAATATTTGACGTTATCCTCCTTTCCGTTCCTCAACCGGACAAGAAAGAACTCGATAAAGAAGGATGTCTTACCAAGTGTGCTGATCATTCCAATATACGCTTAGATTCAGATCGGCATTTCAGACGTTTTGCAAACAAATGTTACCACTGCTGCACATCAGAAGAAGGACTAGCTCTTCTTCGGAGTAGACCGACAAACCCCGAAACAGTTGCCAACGCCAAGGCGGGGCAAGCAACTACACCTACAGGACTCGGAGCCGCTGAGGAAGGAAAACAAGAATGGACAGACAATGAGTATGATATCTGTTTGAAACGTTGTGCGGCATTATCGAACGAGTGTCATAGATACCACGGCGAACAAGCACTTCCACAGGTGTGTCGTGACAATGCGCTGGGTTGCGAGAAAAGCTGCAACCCTTCGGAGAATTGACGAGAATATTTGAATGAAATTTTGGTTATTCCTAATCAGAATGGTGATACTGTTCCTTAGTTTGTTCATACATCTATGTTACTTGTCAGTCACTTGACTGCCTTTCTAAAGTGCCGAGTAAGCTAACTTACTAAGTTTATGTTTGTTATACGAAACTTCATAATCAGATCGTTTTTGACTACATTTCTTTTGACTACTGGAGGTGCTGCGTTGCACAAACTAGGTGGGAACTCTCTAAATGTTTATCGCATGCGGACAGATTAGTGAAATGCTTTGTTATTGTGAAGCTTTGATGGGGGTCAGAAGTACTTTTAGGAATCGCTCAAGTCAGACAGCAACAGCCGGCTGGTGGACACTCTTATGTTGGCTGCCACCAGCTGAAAGCCAATTATTTGGTGAAAATAAGATCAGATGGATAGATTCTGGGTAGGAAGCACATCACTGGATAGAGGAAGAAAGTGACGTTGCATCATAAACACAAAAAAACCATCTAGTTGGTTTTTGGGTCAATAAAATTGCAGATTAGGTTTCTCCCTTAATTCCCCGTGTAGAAAACGTTTATCGATGCCACTATGCAATGAGCTTGTTGTATACAACTGGTTTAAAGGACACATGCATAGTGCTTTAATGCTTGACCAAATAGAACTTCTTGAAATGTCAAGTCTGCAGGACATACTGAAATCCCCGAAAAGGACTGACGAGATATCTGCTTCCTGAGTATAGGGGGAATATTCGGTGAAATGACCACGACCGTATATGAAAGCTCTCACCAAATGGCGTAAAAAATGCTGAAAATTAAACCAAAGATGGGAGACATTTAGGCGGAGTCATGTGCTTATAACCATAGAAGTCAGTGATTTGCTTCAAAACATCCTGTGTATAAAGTGTCTGGGTTTTAATGAACAAAATTTTACCAGCTGACAGAAGTTTGACTTAAACTTAAACTTCAAAACATTAGTCATGGAGCCAACTGATAGCCCGAGCAGAAATTTCTGGTCTAATCGTCTGCTGAACCATTCGAAACAGTTATCTGCTTAATCGTAGGTTTGTTGACTGTGGGTAGCAGCATGCTCGTCTCGGCACGACCAAACATATGCACAGCCGGTTATAATTAATAAGGGTGAAGCTCGAATTCTACAATAATTGTTCCATGAAAGTTGGAAGACTGTTCGATACAAAACGATGAGGGTGAATTCTCCTGGTAAGCAATCCGAACGCTTCTTCTGACTTATCTGCAATCTCTGCGAAGGGCCTACAGATTGCCAAAGACGGGACTCAGAAGTCTACCTGTACAAACTTGTAGATGGATAACGAAAACCCTGGCCACATAGGTGATTTAACCCTTTTTGTGTGTGGCCAAACTACACTTACCTGATGAATTTCAGTCAAGGAAAGGTGGTGACGTGGTGGACACGGTCAGAATTTGACCATACCTGCATTTTTGGTGACTTTTCTGCTAGTCGCGGTGGCAAGACCAGCCAAGGATTCCAGGCCACAATTTGAAATCGCAATTTGAAACCAGCTATGCTGCTATGGTTCGATCCGACAATATACCTGCATTTTTGGTGACTTTTCTGCCAGTCGCGGTGGCAAGACCAGGCAAAGATTCCAGGCCACCAGTTACTGCGTCGCAATCTGAAATCAGCTATGCTGCTATGGTTCGATCCGACAAACGTGAACGTTTTGCGATAAATTCTTCCGGCGGATTATGCTAGCCGCAGATAAATCTAACAACCGTGTTGGCGTTCCTGGAAAAGCTTCATTTGTGGTCTACGCTAGGTCTAGTTGTGCGGTACTAGAGACCTGTTTTAAAACTGAAACTCTTGTTTATTTGGTGTTTTTGCCGAAATGTGAAATTGAATATATGGGTATAAGAAGACAAGCGGTTTTCACATTCGCGGAAACTCGAACATGCAGATCAATGGCATTGTGGATCTTGAAACACGTTATGAGTAGCCATTACTCAGTTTAAACTCCTTATTTCGCTGGCTCATCCAAACTGAAGATTACAACAGAACTGAGTCTTCTCTATAGTATTTTGCAAGAAGTCGGCAGATGTTTGCATAAATGTAGGAATCAAACACCACTTTATGACTTTGGAAAACGGAACAGTGTTACGAACCATCAGTGCTTCCATTTTTCTGTCAACCTAGATGGTAAGTCAGATGAATTCTCACATTTGAACAATATAACTGGGTTTGAGTGAGTGGGGCTGAGAAATTAGTGGGGCTGCTCAACACCTATGATAATAAAAACGGTGTCAACGTAATGCATATACAACAGATCTTTTTATCCACAATTTGCCATTAGACTCTCTTAAGCTATCCTATTATTTTGATGAGGTTGTCACTACGAAAAAAATGTTTTTGGCCATCAAATATAGTTGTCACATTTCCCCTACACACTTTGAGGTAATCATTGGTGAAAACTAACAGGAGACCTGTTTTAGGATACCGGCTAACAAGCATTCGTGCGAAATGTCATAGGCTTTGGAAAATCGGCTTAATCTCGTCAACCATTGAACAGAAAAGGGAAAACTTAGGCTAAGCAACAACCTCTGGAGCGGACAGCGATCATTTGTGAACTTGGTAATGACCCTATGTAAACAACCAAATTGCCCGACAGTTTGTGTAAAGCGTGCTTAAAAATACCTGTCTCCGTAATCTATCAACCCACATAAGTAAAGTTTGTTTGACATTTTTGTAAACGCCTATCCGCAGCTAAGACGCGCTTGTAATTCTAGTTGAAACCGTAATCAATTCTGAGTAACCTCAGGTGCAACAATTTTTCAGACTATTGAACAGCAAACATTTCTGAATTTGTGACAGGTCGACACAGGAAGGAACCAATGCGAGATGTTGTAGATTAGCAGTGCCCTGTGAGGAACTTTGACACACCATATTAATGTATTTACTTGATGCCTTCGTGTTATTTCTAAAAAAAAATTACTGAGCACAAATTATCGAACTGAAATTTTGTAACCGTGTAACGTCTGTGGCAACAGTGACCTTGAATGAAGAACTAAACATATGCCTGCATAAAATAGTCGGTGCATGTTAGGCGGAATTCCACACAGAGACTGATTACTACTCGAATTTAGGCGCTGCTAAGCCCGAGAACACTATCCGGCACAAGACTGGCCAAAAGTTCGGGCCGCTTGCAGGTCCGGTATCAATCCGAGCTCTAACTGGTCGATAGTCTGGACACCCTATCATGATTCAGTGTTCGCCGACTGTCGGTTGCCAGTGGCGCATCCAGCTGTCAGAATTTTCAGGTTGACCCGGCAACGCTGTACGTCGCGCTGTACAATTGTTTTCGAACTGATTTTGGGCGTTAATTTATGTCGTACGCGTTTTGTGGTTGTTTTTGACGTGAACGCTGGCTTGGGATATTCAGACCCAGAACGAAACCGAAGAAAATACCGTTATTTCAGATCCTTGGAAATCACTTATATGTAAGTAGGGGTTAAAAAACTAAAAAAAACAGCCATGTAGTGGATGAACACTTGGCGGTGGCAAATTCTGAATGCGTAGTTTAAAATTTATACCCTTTATAAGATTCCTCTTTATAAAATAATATTTGGAGTTGTTTATGAATGTCCGGTGACTTTGAAAAATCCTAAATCCTCACCTGGTAAGACTATTATCGAATGACGTAGTGGCCGTATGGAATATGACCATGTTTCACACTGCAATGGATTACTGGATTCCTGAGTCTACTCAAATGGAGGTTTTCAGCTTACATTGAGGAAGATTCGGGTAGTCCACTAACGTTGAAGGAGCTAGGAAGCCAATTTTAAGATGCTAAATGTGAGGATACTACGCTTTCATCAGCAGATCGAATGTGAAAATCAACCATTCTGTTTTCATGCCCCACCCTCGAAATGTGAAGCGCCAGTGTGACTTTGAGAACTGTGAATAAACAGCTCGGAAGTACGGACGTGAAAACATGTTTTTTTAAAAGAGCTGTTGATAAACCACCTGAAGTAGAATGTAATTGTATCAAAAGTCACTGAAAACTTGCTCAGTTATATTTTCATAAAACCACACAAAATCATGTGTTATGACCACTATCGCATTAAACTAACTAAGTATATTAGGTATTCACTAATCAAAGTTGGGACATCCTTACGGTTTCACTTGAAAGCATTTAGAATACGAAGATGGTAGATGATCGGATTATGCAGAAATGTTCCGACGAACAGAAGTGGGCACACTTTTGAATACAATCAAGATTTTTTGATATTTTCGAAGTCGGAATGAAGTGAATTTGATGAGATTTTACTGTTCAAATGACACCAGGCGAACTCGAATCTGGTAAAATAAGAACGCGCATGAGTAAAACTTCAAGAACCCTACGCATAGTGTTGACTAGCATACGTTGCCCACTTTTGAGTGGTTTTATCGAGTATTTATAAACGAACAAAAAACGGAATGTCTAGTCATGGTGACAACTACGGAAGTTAAACTAGTGGGCTGTACTGTGTTTTTGCCCCATGAATTTATTGCTTACAATGATAACTTCGTTTTCCAAACTGACAGTATCTGTTGGCAAACAGGTGGGATTTCACTTCATTCTCAGCTCATTCAACCCTTCGGTGACAACTCTGTAACAAAAAACGATTGCCGGACAATCCCTGTCACAACTTCAAGAGACATCGACTTACATTCTTCACTGCTTTGAACCAGTTTTTTCTGTATCAGTGACAGTCATTGTGAGGATATACAGCTATATGTAAAATTTTGGTTTAAAGCAGATATTGAAAGCTGTTCTTAGCAGTTCTCTGAATACTTCGGAAGCCCTCGGTAACAAAACAGTCATCCACTTTTGCCCGTCTTTTGGAAATATCACGGCTTATGGATTCCGACCTGTTGTCTAACCTGTTCATAAGAGACGAAATTCGATTGCCATAATTAGGGATATCCAAAAACGCCCATCCATTACCCAGGACTTACCCGAAGGAATGCAACCCGATCCATGATTCACCCATACTCTTGCTA